TTTCGCGGTTCTCGCGCTCTCCAACGTGGATTTTCGGATTCGACATAGCGAATATGCCCAGATAAGCACAGAATCTCAAAATCGACCTTTTGGATAGATACTGCCTTCAAGATATCAGCTTTTGTTTAGCTATTGGTGATCAATGTTTCGCCGATTAAAGTGCATCTCGATAAGCTTAGCAGCTCGTGTTCCCTAATATACAAGAGCCATCACTAAGATGGATAAGATGGACTCACTGGATATGGGTGGAGTTATTACCATTATCTGAGTGCACTGAACAAATTCGTTAACATTTATTTCGAGTTCAGAAGACCAATTAATCATTCTAACACATATTAACCGTATTTACAGTATATAGTAACGATATTCTATCATTCGAAAGCAAACACCGAAATGCGTCTTCAGGAAAGTCGAAGACGTTGAAAATTGACCAAAGAGCAAAATCACATATGTATGCGGCGTGATGAACCAAATGACCTCAAAAGCTCTCAATACAATTCTTTGCATTCATTACATTACAGACATTACAGCAGTGACGTTTACATGCGAATTTATTCCATAAACCCGCTGTGTATGAAAAGCGAAATCGTACATAGATCGTGGTCGTCTGCAGAATGTATGTACAAATCACCAGGATTTTGCTATAAGAGGAAACAAGAGACTAATATTTGTCTAAAATTAATGAGTACCTAACAACGGTTATACGTGTGAGGAGTGCTGAATTACGCAAACCCAAATCCTTCAGTGCATTCGCGTATAGCCAGCAGCAGCGAATCGCGCAGCTTCTCATAAGACTCGTACTGAGGAAGATCCAGTTGATTGAAGCTACAAAAAAAAACACTTCCATTCACATACAGTCATGTAAGTGAGTTTCGATAACAGTGAGTTACAAAATATGACTTTTAACTGTTTACCAGGTGTGTGCGGCAGGTAACCGGTCTCCACCACGACAGTCCATATGGATGCTGAATTTTTGAATGCCATTCATACCCTCCAGGCTAGCAAATCCTTGTAAAGGCACCTAGAGTAAAGTAAACATAACGAAGAAACTGATGCAAACTGTTATAAGTTCTTGTTTAAGTGCAAACTGTTATAAACAAAGTTTACAAAACAGAGTTTTTACCAAACTACTTACCTTGCTGGTTCCAGTAACAAACTGCAAGAATTTGGCTCTGTCCTCTGGTTCGAATGAACGAAGCGCTCGCCAGAACCATTGAATCTGAAACAATTTCAGGTATAAGAGCAATATGTAAGAATCTGGTAACTGAGTCGATGAATGACTTTGGGAAAAGATTCACAAACCTGTGCGCTTGTCTTTGTATACATTTTGTACTCGGTATTATTGGCCAAATCATCAATATCGACATCAGGTAGACCACTAATTAGCAACTCCAATTCTTGTTCATTGAACATGCTTATCAATTGTTTTGGTATCACTTCATAGAAGCCAGTAAGGAATGC